CTTCTCATATACTACAACTGGGCTTTACTTGGTTATTGTTCATGTACTATTGATATGCCTCTTTGCTATTTCTCTTTTCTCACTCTTATGACATATTGTTCCTCTTGAAAAAATGGTAATATCACTAATAAATATATTCATATAAAAATCCCCACTTCTACTGACTCCTAGTTTCCTGTTCATCCCATTAGGTTTATTTAGTGGCCTAAAGAAGTGAAAGAAATATGTGCCATCTTCTATAAAATGCGGAATAATAAACAAAAACAATCACAAACTTTCTCTGCCAAAGTGAACTGGACAAACACATAAGCTGCGTCTAGACTGGCATGATTTTGCACAAAAGCGTCAGAGTATTTTGTGCAAAATCTTGCCACCTGTCTACACTGGCCGTGAGTATTTGTGCAAGAACACTGACTTTGTAATGTACAAAATCAGTGGTTCTTGCGCAAATACTCTGACGCTCCCGCTCAGGGATAAGCCCTCTTGCGCAAGTATTCTTGCGCAAGAGGGCCAGTGTAGACAGCCACGTTAATTTCTTGTGCAAGAGAGCGTCTACACTGGCATGGATGCTTTTGCGCAAAAGAAAATCTTTTGCGCAAAGGCACATTCCAGTATAGACGCTTTCTTGTGCAAATACTTTTAATGAAAAAACTTTTCCATTAAACGTATTTGCGCAAAATCATGCCAGTCTAGACGCAGCCTCTATGTGATACAGCTTGCCTAATAAGTTTTTGCTGTTCGACTCTTGTATTCAGAACCAAACCCACAGTAGTAGACCCTAGAGGTAAGCTTTACATACATATATTTGGACTCCAGTCTTGACTCTGTTTTTCTGCAGACTATCATAAAACACCATTTTCTAGTGCAAATTAATATTAAAATGTGAGATTCTGCAGTCTTTTGAAAGAAAGGCATAAAATGTCAAGATTTGAGGCTAACACATACCTTCTATATCTACATATATGCACACACATACATACAACTGAATATGCCTCTGTCCATAAACCTACAGTACAGTACTCACTACATGCATATGAAAATGTTAATATATATATATATATATATGCTTTATATTATGTTACAGTATGAATGTGTTTGTATATTTATTATTAAAATACTTACTGTTCTGCCTTTTGAAGTAGATGGACAAATGATTTAGGAGTGGAAATAGACTAGAAACAAAATTAATGCAAATAATGTGTTGATTTTTTTTAGCTTGATTAGCCAAGCCAATGGAAAATTCTAGAAAACGTATACAATTATTTTAACTGTCATAGACTGGCAATTGTAATTGACATGATTTGTACGAGATGCAGTGTAATAACTGAATATATTAAAAAAAAATCTCATGGCTTGATTACCAGGAGAACATTACTAGTGCCACAATATTATTAACAACACAATTATCATGGCATCCCTAGGACACGCTCTTAGCACTTCAATGCATTAGCGAACCTTTGCTAACGAAGAAAAAATTAAAGTACAGCAAATTTCAAAGCACCAGTTGTACCCAATATCATTAAAAATTTATAAAACTTCCCCTGAACATGACAAGTGTTTGGTTTAAATGAAGATCAGCCATAAGGAAGGAACAGAAATCTTGTTATTCTTTGTCTCTTTCTCTCCCTCTCTCTCAGACCTCCCCCAACCACCACCACCTCAATCCAGCTGAAATATGTAACCATTACAGAGTGACAGTTTGACACACAATGACCTGTCAGAACATTCATCTCTCAATGTTTTATTTTAGTGAGGAGCCAAACTGCAGAAAAAATAAGCAAGTTGTTTCAAGGCTTGGAATGAGATCAAACATTTCTGGCATCCCCACTTACCAGACCTTTGATTTACAATGGATCTGTCAGAGGCTGATTAGACAGTGTGTGTTTAAAAACCTATAGATGTTCCACAATTGCACAAGCTCTCCCCTTCCCTGCACAGAGAGCATTTCTGCTCTTTGTTTGAATGAAATGAATAAGCTAGGTTACATCGCAGAACCTTACACCTTGTAAGTGGCAGGCACAGCGTGTAAAAATGTAGCCAGCTACAATTAAATCATTTAGGATGATTCAATTTTACTGAAAAAGGAAGGCTGAATCTGTATTCTTTAAGCCAGTTTCTAGTACCTTTTCCTACCAGGCCTAAACTTGTAATACTCTGCAGAAAAAAAAACATTTAGCAACTAGCTAAAATCACTGCATATTCACAAGAATGTGTAAAGGCAACATGCAGCTTAAAAAATTAGCCAGACAAATAAAAGCGAAGGTGTTAAATTATTGTTATGGTGTCACAATTTTTTCCTCGTAATTGCAACCAAGGAAAAAGGATAGAAATATATTGTTTCTATTTGTGCCTAGAACATTTGCAGAAAAAGAGCACCAGGATTTGTGCCTGGCATTAGAATGTGCAATTCCTTAATGCTATATTTGTGGCATACGGTTCGTTCATTGTAGCAAATTATGAATACATGTGTTTGGAGAGCTTTGGTAGTAAATTTGGGCTTTGTACATCCATAACAATGCAATCTGACAAATGTAATTTATGTAATATTAAGTTAATACAGTATTATGAAATTAGCTTACTGTAGTAAAGCTGTAATTTTAAAGTGAAAGACAATACGATGAAACAAAAACAAAATCAACATTAGCCTTTCATGAAAGGTAAAACAAATCTGTTAAAAAGTCTGCTCGGTAATTTATTAGAATGCAGTATTTATGACTATCGGTATATTTAAGATATGGCAACCTTTTATGTACAGTATAGCACAAGACTCAGAATACTGCTCACAATGGCCTTAGTTCTTTCTCAAAGTCCTCACAAAATTTAACAGGGCCTCTGCCTGTTTGAGGACAAAATCGGGACTCCACAATCTGTCCACCTATTAGTAATCTCTGATAGTACTTATGGGCACAATGCT